CAAAGAGAAGATAGAAATAACAAAAAGACAGACTACAAGACAAAGGATAAGGAGGAGAGGAGATAAGATGGAGACTGATCACATATACAACCTGAATCTGCTGGAGATATTGGATTAAAAGTTATCACCACAACAAAACATGGAATCCCAACATCGAGACCAACAGGAGGGACAATAGCAAAAAACTGTGAAGGAGGGATATACAAGTGGACATATCAAGAAAAATCCCTAAGTGAAGATTACGTCTGGACACTAATCACTATGGACAAACTAAAGATTACGACCAATGACTTTAAAATTGTAGACCCGTCAGAGTTTAGAAGAGTCAGAAGCGGGAAACAGGACGATAGGTCTCCACTCCAACTGCCACAATCCAAGTATAAGAAATAATGGACAACAGACAAACAGTAAGAACTTTAAGAATAATACAACACAACGTAAGAAACTGGAAGACCGAGAGAATTAACCTAAGTAATATATATCAAGAAATTGACCCTGACATTATACTAATAAACAGTCACGGTGAGACACACAACAACAACATAAAACTCTTTAACTATTATGTAAACCAAAGAAATAAATCGGGCGAGAAAAATGACGGAGTAGCTATAGCGGTTAAAAGAAACTTAATATTTAAACTAATCGATGACTTCCACGATGAATTTCTAGCAATAAAAATAAATACAACTCAAGGAGACGTAATTATTGCTACTACTTATCTGCCACCGAGACGATCCTACTTACCTATAGAAGACCTATTAAAATTGGCTAACAATAGTCATCCGATGTACATCTTAGAGACTTAACGCTGCATGCATAGGATTTTTGACAATACAAATAATAACGTCGTGGGAAACGCCCTTAATCAATTAATAAATTCAGGAAAATCAATCATCTGGGTCCTAACTTTCCAACCTGGAGAAATCTACAATACACAATCGACACCAGACAAAATTTTACCAACAACAAAAGCTTTTTTCACTAATATATAATACAGGGACTCCTACAGACAGTGACCATCTGCCACCATACTAACACCGTCAACAAGCCCCCATACAGATACCAATAAAAAGAGACTGAAAAATGAGTAAAACAGACTGGGACAGCTTCAGAGACGACTTAAGTAATCACCACTGATAACCTACAAGGGAAACAACAGAAGACATAGACTCCAGAAATGGACAGACTGCACTCTCAGCAACAACATCCACAACCAAACACACTCCTACTTCACACTTTGTGAACATACCCAAACAACAGACTACCAGAAGAAGTACCAATCCAGACCCATTACAATGAAATAAACAGGTATATGGAAAGACACGGCAGCAACAGATGGCTATATACGACACAGACAGCACTACAGATATGTACCAGAGACGCATGTAAGGAAGCAAACAATAAAAATGGAATATTATAATGGCGGCTGACATGACTAAAGACACAAAACATTTTGACTCTATAAACAAGATGATGGGGCACAACAAGCAAAAACACCATACATTAAAGACCAAATGGAACAAAATTGCACGAGGGAAAATGAATAAGAGTCAGCATTCAAAAGGAATGGGTAAAAGTTTTAAAATATCAGATGAGGAAAATGAAGATTTTGATAGTGAACAATGAAGAAAAGGATAGAAGAAGAAATGGAAGACAAATACATGAATCACCCCAAGGCAAATATATAGACTATAAATCCTATTACCTAATAATCAAATAATAACCATGGGAGAAATGATGAACTGTCTGAGGAAGTTTAAGAAAAAGCCCCCTGGCTCACAGAGGTTACACGAGATATGATCATGAATCTACCTGAAAAACATCTTTTAAAAACACTATTAAACATTTTAACGCATGCTTAATAACCGGTTACTTCAGACAAACTAAAATATGCTAAAATGATATTTATTCCCAAGGAGGGTAAGGTCAATAAGGAAATATTAAACTACAGGCCAATATCTTTATTAGAAATTACCGTGAAACTATTGGAAAAATATTAAATTCAAGACTTATAAACCTTTTAACACAACATGGGAAACTAACAACAGACAACATGGATTTATGCCCACACAGAAATACCCTCAACTGCAATAGCTATAATAACGGAAATAATTGCAATAGGAAAAAGCAAGGGGAACCAGATCAATATAAATTTTATGACGTTTCTAAGGCTTTTGATAAAGTTTGGCATTTAGGCTTAAAATATAAAATATTAAAACTGGACTTAACGAATACTTACAAGAATATTGTGTAACTATTTAGATGATAGGAGAGCACAAATTCAAATTGGAAACATTATGGGAACCATGTTTAATCTTGAGAGTGGAGTACCTCAAGGAGGATGCCTTTCTCCAACACTATATACAATTTATACCTCAGACACACCTCAACCTTCCCCCTTTAGCGAATATGTAATGTTTGCTGATGATATTACTCAAATAGTATCATACCCAGGAAAATCAACCCAATTTATGGCACTCTACACGGTAAGAGCGATAAATAATATAAATGATTTTGAGAAAAAATGGAAAATCAGGACAAATAAGAACAAATTCAAGATAATACCAATAGCCAAGATCAAAACAAGTCCAGTAATAGTCGACCAGGAACTATACCCATACGACACTGAAGGCAGGATGCTTGGACTAAAACTAACAAAAAGAGGATATATAACATACTTAAAAGATAAAGAACGACAGGCATGAATAAGATTATCAAAAATAAAACGCTTTAAGAACCTTAGCATTAATAACAAAAGAAAGATTTATATTGCCCTTGTCAAATCAATTATGGACTACCCACCCATCCCATTGAACACTCTTAGTAAAACGAGCATTAAAAGGTTACAAACAGTACAAAATATAGCCCTCAGATTTATATATAACATAAAATATACAGACCACATCAATAATGAACAGCTACACCAGAGATCAAACCTCCTAGCAATCAATGTAGATATACACAACAAAGCTGTAAATATTTGGAACAAAGTGACTAAACTCAACAAAGAAACATATCAAAACTGGATAAATAATATAGACAACGAAGAATTCCAAGAACACAGTTGGTTTAAATCAGCCAGGAAGAAAGTAATTGAACCATCTCCTGCCCCAATATACACATAAAACACTAATAGAGAGAATAAAAGATGAGAGTGACCTACCGGCTACACTAAGAACCTGGCAGGCCTCTCCATGCAGTGTACCTTTAGACTAACATAACTAACATTTAACATTTAACTAACATCTTAGCATAAAAAAAAGTGACTACCCTCCCAGTTACACAAGGACCTGGGCGGGCTCACTAACTCCAACAATAAATAAAAATAATAATAATAAGCAGCACTATATAAATAAACCAATATTAATACAAAGGTCTGACGACCCAAGGGAGCAGAACAAAGATAAAACACCAATAGGAAAGATGAAGCGATCTGGTTGAGCCCAGATTCTTTCTACTCCTACTGTATTTCAGTTTCACCACTTTTTCTTCAATCCCTAATAATCGTCTTTCACCTCATAACTCCAGCGAGATCTCCGCTAGCATCACACCTTAGAGTGAACGGGTGGCTGTTCTTGGCCCTTCTGCTGGAGCTTCCTGAAGACCCCCAGCTCGCCGTCGCTACTCAAGGAGATTGGCCAGAAGGTGGCCTATAGGACCCACTCGGCGGAGTTCCTGTAGCGGTTCTGGGTTGCCCTGCCAATAGATGCTAGCAATATTTCGAACCATCAAGACTCCGAGGCCGAGATCTCTTTCTACCCACACCAACCAGCCAGCAACACCTCCTCCTGCCTGCCTGGCGGTCCTCGCTCCCGCCTGCGAGCATGGCGACCCACAAGCGTCCTCCTCCGAGCATCCTCACCAACTGTGCTCTTTTTCTTCTAGCTACAGCCGCAAACAACACCTCCTCCTCCTCCGCCGCCTGGCGGCCTCGCCCCGCCGGCGAGCATGCCGGCGACCCACAAGCTGTCCTTCCTTCCTCTGAGCACCTCACCAACCAGCTTCCCTACATCACGCTTGTAACCACGCTGCCATCTCCCAGCACCAAGCTGCATTGTACATCCAATACAAATATGTATACATGAGAGCACATTGTGAATTTCATTTTCTCCATCCCATCCTTATGAGACCCAAATATCACATACCCCACAATGCCATGTGGCTACATTATATAGACACTAAGGGATCTTACACAAACCACTGTCCTCTTTCCCAAAAGCATGACCACACTCCTAGTAAGGTGGTCATTAGAAAAATAAAACAAATAAAAGGTAAATATATTGTATACATAACTGTCTATATAGCAAACCTGAATTAATGTAAACTATGTCTATGTATAAAAAAAATCTTAAAATTATACGAGAAACTGAAACATTACCTATAATAAGTCATTTATAAACTAAAAAAAATATAAACCATGTGACTTAATTCTGTTGAAGTGAAATTAAAAATAAGAACAAAACTGAACTTAATGATGTATATTATATACATTTAATACCAAACAAACTTATTAACACAGAATGTGGTGATGTAAAATTAGGGGCAATCTATTTATTTTCACATAGCAACAAAATCACTTTAGTACATACGACATGATAACAGCTGTTGATGGGAGACTAACGACCTTCACACTCTAGACTATGTATGTTATTATTACTTACCCGTCACTGTTGGCAGGAATTGGACAGTGGGTATTTTACAGTGATGCAAAGACAGTGGAAAATAAACGAAAAAAATAGATAACCAAAAAATATCCACACAAAAGAAGAATGGAGTTGGTTGAGGAAGGGAGGAGAGTGAAGGAAGGATGGAGAAAAGGATAACAAAATAAAAATTAGGAGGGAGGGAGAATGAATAAAGGATGAAGGGTAAACAAGGAAGGGATGGAGGGACGAAAGGAATATGAGGGCAGTAGGGAGAGCGAGTGAGTGAGGGAGGTAGAGTGAGTGAGGGAGGAGGAAGCAGGGGGTGGCTAGAGACAGGAAGGAGATAGTGACATAAGGGGTGTGCTTACAGGATGCTAGCACCAGAAGGCCGTCAGACACACCCCTCCTCACACACACCCGACCAGCTCCTGTTATCAGCCACTCTTTAGACCTGACACGGTACAGTACGTTTATATACATGTTATACACTCAAAACAAGTCACTCAAAACTTAATGTAAATATACCAACACTAACCAGGATATAGTAACCACAAACGATTATAGGAGTTACAAAAGTTTGGTTACATAATCTTACATAACTCATTTATTACTAACCTAATATACAAGCCATAAGACATTACTTGATGAAGGTACAGTATTACATAACCTCAATATAACCCTACCTCAATATATTTTTTTGTGGTAATTAAGTGTTAATTATAAGTAATCTATTTATTAAAAGTTATAAGATTACTTTTTATATATATATTTTTTTTTTAATTCTTACTGGAAAGGTCTTTTGTTGTTTGTACACCTGCAAATACCTACCGTTGTTTGTATACCTGCGCTACCACACACCCATCTACCGTTGTTTTATACACCTGCACTGTCTACCGTTGTTTGTACACCTGCACTGTCTACCGTTGTTTTGTATACCTGCTGTCTACCGTTGTTTGTACACCTGCACTGTCTACCTTGTTTGTACACCTACCTGTCTACCGTTGTTTTGTATACCTGCTCTCTCCGTTGTTTACACCTTCACCTGTCTAGTGTTTGTACACTGCACTGTCTACCGTTGTTTGTACACCTGCACTGTCTACCGTTGTTTGTATACCTGCGCTATCCACCGTTGTTTGTACACACTGTCTACCGTTGTTTGTACCTGCACTGTCTACCGTTGTTTGTATACCTGCACTTGTCTACCGTTGTTTATACACCTGCACTGTCTACCGTGTTTGATACCTACTGTCTACCGTTGTTTGTACACACTGTCTACCGTTGTTTGCACCTGCACTGCTCTACCGTTGTTTGTACACCTGCACTGTCTACCGTTGTTTGTACACACTAGCATCTACCCGTTGTTTTGACACACCACTGTCTACCATTGTTTGTACACCTGCACTGTCTACTGTTGTTTGTACACCTGCACTGTCTACCGTTGTTTGTACACCTGCACTGTCTACCGTTGTTTGTACACCTGCACTGTCTACCGTTGTTTGTATACCTGCACTGTCTACCGTTGTTTGTACCTGCTGTCTACCGTTGTTTGTACACCTGCACTGTCTACCGTTGTTTACACCTGCACTGTCTACCGTTGTTTGTATACCTGCGCTGTCTACCGTTGTTTGTATACCTGCTGTCTACCGTTGTTTGTATACCTGCGCTGTCTACCGTTGTTTGTATACCTGCACTGCCTACCGTTGTTTGTATACCTGCACTGTCTACCGTTGTTTGTATACCTGCACTGTCTACCGTTGTTTGTATACCTGCTGCTACCGTTGTTTGTATACCTGCACTGTCTACCGTTGTTTGTATACCTGCACTATCTACCGTTGTTTGTATACCTGCACTGCCTACCGTTGTTTGTATACCTGCGCTGTCTACGTTGTTTGTATACGTGCACTGTCTACCGTTGTTTGTATACCTGCACTGTCTACCGTTGTTTGTATACCTGCACTGTCTACCGTTGTTTGTATACCTGCACTGTCTACCGTTGTTTGTATACCTGCTCTGTCTACCGTTGTTTGTATACCTGCTCTGTCTACCGTTGTTTGCATACCTGCGCTGTCTACCGTTGTTTGCATACCTGTCTGCCTACCGTTGTTGTTGCACGTGTAATGATAGAAAGAAGTGAACGCCTCTTGATAACCATGGCTGCCTTATCTACCCAGAATATCGTGAAAGTCCAGTTTCATATTTTTTAAGTTGTTATCTAGAGAACGTACTCACAACAAAAATTATAGATTGCATACTATAGTGTGAACAATTTGAGACCAGTGACGATAGAGTATTGGAAAGGCGAGTTGTTCAGCCATATATTGGCAGCCCTGATTGTCAGCCATATGGCAACACCTAGTGGAGGGGGGGGGGTGATATGAGGATACACTTACCAACCTTCCCGACATATCACAGTGTATACGAATCGTTTCGGAACTCGTCGATCTCACCCTGCACCGATACTTTTTGGTGCGAGTGTACCTAAAGACTTGGGTTATTGACGTTCGTAAATACTTAAAAAAAAATTATTCCAATATTTCAGAAGTTTTTGTCTGGTATAGAAATTAACTTTGTTGTGTATTACAGTAATTTAGCCAATGAACGTCCTTAAGGGAATAGAAAAACAATAATATAATCAAAAGTAAACATTATAAACAATACATTTTTATTCTTTCGTTGGCTTTGTGTTGTGATTCACTGAGGATGTTAATGGATGAATGAACGAATGAAGTATCCAACACACTCCAGCTACAACACAAGGAGGCTACAATAATATCCTTACCCTGATCATCCTATCCCAGCAGGACCTACCAAGGGCAGGCATGAGACGCCAAACCCACACCACCTTCTGCTGCTGGGTGTTGGTGTTGTGGTTCCTGTCAGCAGCAGCAGCAGCAGCAACAGTAACAGTAACAGCTCCTCAGGGTCAGACGGAGGACTTGTACTGCTTCACAGATGACTTGACCCCTTACAACAAGTTCTCCACCAAGACCGCGTACAGCCTGGCCAGGGGGGAGTTTACCCACGATGATCTGGTGCCTAAAGGTAAGTGAGGGTCTTCTTCTTCTTCTTCTTCTTCTTCTTCTTCTTTATCCTCATTTTCTTCCCCATCCTCCTCTTTTCCCTCATCTTCCTCCTCCTCCTCTTTTTCCTCTTCTTCCTCTTCCTACTCCACTTCTTCCTCTTCCTCATCTTCACCCTCCTCTTTTTTCTCATCTTCATCCCCATCCTCCTCCTTTTCCTCTTCTTCTTCCTCCTCCTCTTCTTCCTCTTCATTGGTCATTGTTTCATATACACAATGAACAATTTGATGACATAACTTATATAATGATCATAGTGTTATAACACATACTGTACAAGATACACTGAGAGTACCAACGGGAATGAGCTAATCTCAACCACGTGTGTTTGTTGTCACTACACAGGGTGCGAGGCGCGGCAGGCGTGGCACCTGGTGAGACACGGAACACGTTATCCTAGTGAAGACGACATCGCTGCCTTCCTGCTGGTGCTCCCAGACCTCCAGGCTGATGTTCTTGTCGCTCACCAAGAAGGTCTAGGTGAGTGTATGGTGCACCAAGAGTTGAACGAAATAGAGGCAACCTTCCTTAATGTAAAGTAACGTAGCGTAACCTAACCTGACGTAACGTAACCTAACGTAACCTAAACTAACCTCGACAGGAGAGCTGTGTGAAGGTGACGTGAAGCTACTGGCGGGTTGGTCACTGGGAGGCATCAACATCACGTGGGATTCAATTCTAACGCCTGAGGGACACCGCGAATTGGAGAGCCTCTCAGCCAGGTACCAAGAGGCAATCCCTAACCTGCTGAGACAACCCTTTACTAATGACTCGTTCAAGGTGAGAGAGAGAGAGAGAGAGAGAGGTGTGTGTGTGTGTGTGTGTGTGTGTGTGTGTGTGTGTGTGTGTGTGCGCGCCAGAGTGGAGGAGAGTAAACACCATCTCTTGTTCACAGTTCCGGCACACCGCCCGCCAGAGGACAGCAGAGAGTGCCAGGGCCTACGCCAACGGTCTCTTTGGTCACGACGTCTACATACCCGCGCCCCTTGACCCTGATCCATTGTTGAAGGTAAGTGTAGGTTATGTATCTAAGCTACTGTGCCGAGTAGCATCTATGTATGTAATTACGTGGCAACAATGCACGTGTTATGTGGCAGCATTGCCCCGAGGCTGCCATATGGCAATGCCGCCTTAGTCTGACTCCGTGGGTCGTGCATGGCACTTCATGCGCACGCTGCTCACTACTTGTATCTCTCCTATCCGTTAATAAATGGACTTCAGTGTTACCCGGTGTTTCCCTACCCATCACTGCCTTCTTCAGGGAACACTTGGAACCTTCAGTAAGTACTGGCACTGTGTATTAGCCTTGGCACTGTCTACTAATCTTGTCACTATCCGCTCGCCCTGAAGGTCAATACTAGCACTGTGTATTAGCCTTGGCACTGTCTACTAGCCCTTAAGGATGGTATTGGCACTGTTTATTAGCCTTGGCACTGTCTACTAGCCCTTAAGGATGGTATTGGCACTGTTTATTAGCCTTGGCACTGTCTACTAGCCCTTAAGGATGGTATTGGCGCTGTTTATTAGCCTTGGCACTGTCTACTAGCCCTTAAGGATGGTATTGGCACTGTTTATTAGCCTTGGCACTGTCTACTAGCCCTTAAGGATGGTATTGGCGCTGTTTATTAGCCTTGGCACTGTCTACTAGCCCTTAAGGATGGTATTGTCACTGTTTATTAGCCTTGGCACTGTCTACTAGCCCTTAAGGATGGTATTGGCGCTGTTTATTAGCCTTGGCACTGTCTACTAGCCCTTAAGGATGGTACTGGCGCTGTTTATTAGACTTGGCACTGTCGACTAGCCCTTAAGGATGGTATTGGCACTGTTTATTAGCCTTGGCACTGTTTACTAGCCCTTAAGGATGGTACTGGCGCTGTTTATTAGACTTGGCACTGTCTACTTTGTGCCCTTAAGGATGGTATTGAAGCCGCTTATTAGCCTTGGCATCAAGTTCATTGCTTCTCCCTAAGGATGGTACGGCGCTGTTTGCCAGGACTTGCACTATCTACCAGCCTCCCCAAAGGATGGTACTGGCGCTGTTTATTAGACTTGGCACTGTCTACCAGCCCATAAAGATGGTATTGGTGCTGTTTATTAGACTTGGCACTGTCTACTAGCCCTAAAGATGGTATTGGCACTGTTTATTAGACTTGGCACTGTCTACTAGCCCTAGGATGGTATTGGCGCTGCTTATTAGCCTTGGCACTGTCTACTAGCCCTTAAAGATGGTATTGTGCTGTTTATTAGACTTGGCACTGTCTACTAGTCCTTAAGGATGGGATTGGTGCTGTTTATTAGCCTTGGCACTGTCTACTAGCCCTTAAGGATGGTATTGGTGCTGTTCATTAGCCTGGCACTGTCCAATAGCCCTTAAGGATGGAACTGGCGCTGTTTATTAGCCTTGGCACTGTCTACTAGCCCTTAAGGATGGTATTGATGCTGTTTATTAGCCTTGCTCTGTCTACTAGCCCTTAACGATGGTATTGGCGCGTTTATTAGCCTTGGCACTGTCTACTAGCCCTTAGGATGGTATTGGCGCTGCTTATTAGCCTTGGCACCGTCTACTAGCCCTAAGGATGGTATTGGTGCTGCTTATTACCTTGCACCTGTCTACTAGCCCTTAAGGATGGTATTGGTGCTGTTTATTAGCCTGGCACCGTCTACTAGCCCTAAGGATGGTATTGGCTGCTATTAGCCTTGGCACTGTCTACTAGCCCTTAAGGATGGTATTGGTGCTGTTTATTAGCTCCACTGTCTACTAGCCCTGAGATGGTATTGGCGCTGCATTAGCCTGCACTTCACTAGCCCTTAAGGATGTATTGGCACTGCTATAGCCTGGCACTGTCTACTACCTTAAGGAGGTATTGGTCAGTTATTAGCCTTGGCACTGCTCCACTAGCCCAAGGATGGTATTGGCGCTGCTTATTAGCCTTGGCACTGTCTACTAGCCCTTAAGGATGGTATTGGTGCTGTTTATTAGCCTTGACACTGTCTACTAGCCCTTAAGGATGGTATTGGCGCTTATTAGCCTTGGCACCTGTCTACTAGCCCTAAAGGATAGTATTGGCACTGTTTATTAGCCCTGGCACTGTCCACCAGCCCTTAAGGATGGTATTGGCGCGCTTATTAGCCTTGGCACTGCCTACAGCCCTTGGGATGGTATTGGCACTGTTTATTAGCCTGGCACTGTCTACTAGCCCTTAAGGATGGTATTGGCGCTGCTTTAGCCTCTTGGAGGGATGTATTGGCACTGGTTATTAGCTCGACTGTCTATACTAGCCCTTAAGGCGATGGTGCATGGCACTATTTTATTAAGCATTGGCACTGTCTACTGTTCTTTTAAGGATGGTATTGGCACTATTTATTAGCCTGGCACTGCCTACTTAGCCCTAAGGATGGTATTGGCACTATTTATTAGCCTCGCACTGCTCCATTAGCCCTTAAGGATGGTAGTATTAAGAATTATTTATTAGCCTAAAATTGTCTAATAGCTCCCCAAGGATGGTATTGGCACTGCTTATTAGCCTTGGCACTGTCTACTAGCCCTAAGGGATGGTATTGGCACTATTTATTAGCCTGCACTGCTCCAGCCAGCCCTTTAAGGGCTTTGGTATTGGCACTGCTTATTGGGGCCTGGCACCGTGTTCAATAGCCCTGTTGGCGTATTATGCTGTTTATTAGCCTTGGCATTTGCCCACTAGCCCTTGCGATGGTATTAGCACTTGCTTATTAGCCTTTGGAAATGCCCACTAGCCCTTAAGGTCAGCAGTGGCACTGCTTATTAGCCTTGCACCGTCTACTAGCCCTTAAGGATGGTATTGGCACTATTTATTAGCCTTCACTGTCTACTAGCCCTTAAGGATGGTATTGGCACTTTTTATTAGCCTTGGCACTGTCTACTAGCCCTTAAGGATGGTATTGGCACTGTTTATTATGGCACTGTCTACTAATTAAGATGGTGGTAGCTTTATTAGCGCACTGTCTACTAGCCCTTAAGGATGGTATGCATTGTTATTAGCCTTGGCACTGTCTACTAGCCCTTAGGATATTGGCGCTGTTTATTAGCCTTGGCATGTCTACTAGCCCTTAAGGATGGTATTAGCACTGTTTAGCCTTGGCACTGTCTACTAGCCCTAGGTCAGCAGTGGCACTGTTTATTAGCCTTGGCACTGTCTACTAGCCCTTAAGGATGGTACTGGCACTGTTTATTAGCCTTGGCACTGTCTACTAGCCCTCAAGGTCAGTACTGGCACTGTTTATTAGCCTTGCATGTCTACTAGCCCTTAAGGATGGTACTGGCACTGTTTATTAGCCTTGGCACTGTCTACTAGCCCTTAAGGTCAGTAGTGGCACTATTGATTAGCATTGGCACTGTCAACTGGCCATTAAGGTCAGTAGTGGCACTGTTTATTAGCCTTGGCACTGTCTACAAGCCCTGAAGGTCAGTAGTGGCACTGTTCATGTAGCGCACTGTCAACTAGCCCTTAAGGTCAGTAGTGGCACTGTTTATTAGCCTTGGCACTGTCTACCCGCCCTGAAGGTCAGTAGTGGCACTATTTACTATCCTTGGCACTGTCTACTAGCCCTCAAGGCCAGTACTGACACTGCTTATCAGCCTTAGCACTGTCTACTAGCCCTCAAGGTCAGTACTGACACTACCTTCCAATCGATTTATAATTATGAATAGTTGTAACTGTGATCGTCAATTTCTCTCTTCCCTACCCTCTCTCTTTCCTCTTTCTCATTCTTTCCCCCCTCTGTCTCTCTTTTCTCCCCCCTGCCTCTCTTTCTTCCCCCCCCTCTGTCTCTCTCTCTCCTACTGAACAAGTCTTTAACCACCGACAGTTCTACGAGGTGTGTGATAAGTACGTGACGGAGGTGGACGATAACCCCGAGGCAGACCGGGAGAACCAACTCTTTCAGGACGGACCCGAGATGACCAGTGTTGTGGCCAGTGTGTCGCGCCGCCTCGGTGTTGGCCTCGAGTTTGGTAAGATCATCTCCCTTTCTCTCTCTCTCTCTTTCTTTCTGTGCCTTTAATCTTGACAAACTGAGGTGGGTTTCTCTCTCTCTCTCTCTCTCTCTCTCTCCCTGCCTTCAGTCCTGGCGACCTAAAGATGGGTTATATATCATGTGTTGTGTATTAATTAAATGTATGATATACTAATACGTGTACAGTATGATATATTATGGGTGTATTATCTGTATAGGTGAAGTGGAGGTGTTGTATGACGCTTGTCGCTTCTATAAGGCCTGGGATCCTACTGCTGCCTCCCCCTGGTGTGTGGCCTTCACCCCTGACGACCTGAAGGTGGGTCTCTCTCTCTCTCTCTTTCTCTTTATAACTTCAGCCCCGACGATCTGAAGGACTCTCTCTCTCTTTCTCTTTATAACTTCAGCCCCGACGATCTGAAGGTCTCTCTCTCTCTTTCTCTCTGCCTTCTCTACCGATGATTCCAAAACCTTATTCTCTCCAGGCCCTAAGACTCCCGTATAGCACACATTGGGTGTAACCAACAATTATCAACATGTATAAGATTAAAGAGATGTATGAGGCTATGGACATGTATAAAGAGCTCTGACCGTGTATAAGACTAACCATGTATAAAGGCTCAAACCATGTATAAGGCTCAAGCCATGTATAAGACTAACCATGTATAAGGCTCAAACCAGCATAAGTCTGACCGTGTATAAGACTAACCATGTATAAGGCTCAAACCATGTATAAGTCTGACCGAGTATAAGTCTAACCATGTATAAGGCTCTGACCATGTATAAGGCTCTGACCCTGTATAAGACTAACCATGTATAAGACTCCAACCATGTATAAGTCTGACCGAGTATAAGTCTAACCATGTATAAGGCTCTGACCATGTATAAGGCTCTGACCATGCATTAACCCACTGCTGACAGGTGCTGGAATACTGGAAGGATCTGCACTACTACTACATTGAAGGCTACGGCTACAACGTGGACTACGAGATGGCCTGCCGTCCACTACAGGATCTTCTACAACACTTCAGGTAGTCGACTGTGTCTCTATACTGACCCCAGATCACACCTACAGTTCTTCGGGTTGTTAAAGTGGGGTTAGGTTAGGTTTAAGGTGGTAAGGTTGGGTTAGGTTAGGTTTAAGGTGGTCAGGTTGGGTTAGGTTAGGTTTAAGGTGGTAAGGTTGGGTTAGGTTAGGTTTAAGGTGGTAAGGTTGGGTTAGGTTAGGTTTAAGGTGGTAAGGTTGGGTTAGGTTAGGTTTAAGGTGGTAAGGTTGGGTTGGGTTGGGTTTAAGGTGGTAAGGTTGCGTTGGGTTAGGTTTAAGGTGGTAAGGTTGGGTTAGGTTGGGTTTAAGGTGGTGAGTTGGGTTAGGTTGGTTTAAGGTGGTAAGGTTGGGTTAGGTTGGGTTTAAGGTGGTAGGTTGGGTTGAGTTGGGTTTAAGGTGGTAGGTTGGGTTAGGTTAGGTTTAAGGTGGTAAGGTTGGGTTAGGTTAGGTTTAAGGTGGTAAGGTTGGGTTAGGGTAGGTTTAAGGTGGTAAGGTTGGGTTAGGTTGGGTTTGGGTGGTAAGGTTGGGTTGAGGTTGGGTTTAAGGTGGTAGGTTGGGTTGGGTTAGGTTTAGGTGGTAAGGTTGGGTTAGGTTGGGTTTAAGGGTGGTAAGGTTGGGTTGAGTTGGGTTTAAAGTTGGTAGGTTGGGTTAGGTTGGGTTTAAGGTGGTAAGGTTGGGTTAGGTTAGGTTTAAGTGGTAAGGTTGGGTTAGGTTAGGTTTAGGTGGTAAGTTGGGTTAGGTTAGGTTTAAGGTGGTAGGTTGGGTTAGGTTGGGTTTAAGTGGTAAGGTTGGGTTAGGTTAGGTTTAAAATTGTGTAAGGTTGGGTTAGGTTAGGTTTAAGGTGGTAAGGTTGGGTTTTGTTGGGTTTAGGTGGTGAGTTGGGTTAGGTTAGGTTTAAGGTGGTAGGTTGAGTTAGGTTAGGTTTAGGTGGTAAGGTTGGGTTAGGTTGGGTTTAAGGTGGTAAGGTTGGGTTAGGTTAGGTTTAAGGTGGTAAGGTTGGGTTGGGTTGGGTTTAAGGTGGTGAGTTGGGTTAGGTTAGGTTTAAGGTGGTAGGTTGGGTTGGGTTGGGTTTAAGGTGGTGGGTTGGGTTTGGTTGGGTTTAAGGTGGTAGGTTGGGTTAGGTTGGGTTTAAGGTGGTAGGTTGGGTTAGGTTAGGTTTAAGGTGGTAAGGTTGGGTTGGGTTAGGTTTGGAGTGGTTGAGTTGGGTTTAAGGTGGTAAGGTTGGGTTGGGTTGGGTTTGGTGGTAGGTTGGGTTAGGTTGGGTTTAAGGTAGTTGAGGTTGGGTTTAGGTGGTAAGGTTGGGTTAGGTTGGGTTTGGTGATAAGGTTGGGTTGGAGTTGGGTTTAAGGTGGTTAGGTTGGGTTAGGTTAGGTTTAAGGTGATAAGGTTGGGTTAGGTTAGGTTTAAGGTGGTGAGGTTGGGTTAGGTTAGGTTTAAGGTGGTAGTTGGGTTAGGTTAGGTTTAAGGTGGTAGGTTGGAGGTTTGAGTTAGGTTTAAGGTTGTTAGGTTAGGTTTAAGGTGGTAAGGTTGGGTTAGGTTAGGTTTAAGGTGGTAAGGTTGGGTTAGGTTAGGTTTAAGGTGGTTAGGTTAGGTTTAAGGTGGTAAGGTTGGGTTAGGTTAGGTTTAAGGTGATAAGGTTGGGTTAGGTTAGGTTTAAGGTGGTTAGGTTAGGTTAGCTTTAAGATGGTTAAGTTAAATTTAAGCTGAAATAAACCCGGGGTGAATCTTCCTAATCTTCTCTTGTGTTGCAGTACTGTGGTGGCGGGGGAGGAGGGGCCTAATGGTATCTTCTACTTCACACTGTACTGCTCTCCTCACGGTAACCTTCCTCCGCCATCTTCTTACTGATCTGTGTGTAGTATCCTGGTATTCTGTCCTAGGATAGTTAGCCAGCCTCCTCTTTGTGTCTCTTTTTTTTTATTCGTGTCAGAGAACCATAACACATCAACACAACAGATTGATTTTTGTATGATGAGACACTTATAAGACACTCTGTATAGTATGATGAGACACTTATGAGACACTCTGTATAGTATGATGAGACACTTATAAGACACTCTGTATAGTATGATGAGACACTTATGAGACACTCGATAGTATGATGAGACACTTATGAGACACTCTGTATAGTGATGAGACACTTATGAGACACTCTGTATAGTATGATGAGACACTTATGAGACACTCTGTATAGTATGATGAGACACTTATGAGACACTCTGTAGTATGAGACATTTGTGACACTGTGTATAGTATGATGAGACACTTATAAGACACTCTGTATAGTATGATGAGACACTTATGAGACACTGTATAGTATGATGAGACACTTATGAGACACTCTGTATAGTATGATGAGACACTTATGAGACACTCTGTATAGTATGATGAGACACTTATGAGATACTCTGTATGTATGATGAGACACTTTGAGACACTCTGTATAGTATGATGAGACACTTAAGACACTCTGTATAGTATGATGACACTTATGAGACACTCTGTATAGTATGATGAGACACTTATAAGACACTCTGTATAGGGATGGACACTTATGAGACACTCTGTATAGTATGATAGACACTTATAAGACACTCTGTATAGTATGAGAGACACTTGTAAGTATGTGACTTATGAGACATCTGTATGATGTGAGACACTTATAAGACACTCTGTATAGTATGATGAGACACTTATGAGACACTCTGTATAGTATGATGAGACACTTATGAGACACTCTGTATATATATGAGACACTTATGAGACACTCTTGTAGTATGATGAGACACTTATGAGACACTCTGTATAGTATGATGGACACTCTGTATAGTATGATGAGACACTTATGACACTCTGTATAGTATGATGAGACACTCTGTATAGTATGATGGAGACACTTATAAGACACTCTGTATAGTATGATGAGACACTTATGAGACACTCTGTATAGTATGATGAGACACTTATGAGACACTCTGTAGTATGATGAGACACTTATGAGACACTCTGTAGTATGATGAGACACTCTGTATAGTAGATGAGACACTCTGAGAGTTACACTTATGAGACACTCTGTATAGTATGATGAGACACTCTGTATAGTATGATGAGACACTTAGAGACACTCTGTAGTATGATGAGACACTTTATGAGACACTCTGTATAGTATGATGAGACACTTATGAGACACTCTGTATAGTATGATGGAGACACTTATGAGACACTCTTATATGATGAGACATTTATGAGACACTCTGTATAGTATGATGGAGACACTCTGTATAGTATGATGAGACACTTATGAGACACTCTGTATAGTATGATGAGACACTTATGAGACACTCTATAGTATGATGAGACACTTATAGACACTCTGTATAGTATGATGAGAAACTCTATAGTATGATGACACTTATGAGACACTCTGTATAGTATGATGAGACACTTATGAGACACTCTGTATAGTATGATGAGACACTTATGAGACACTCTGTATAGTATGATGAGACACTCTGTATAGTATGATGAGACACTTATGAGACACTCTGTATAGTATATGATGAGACACTTATGAGACACTCTGTATAAAGTGATGAGACACTCTGTATAGTATGATGAGACACTTATGAGACACTCTGTATAATGATGAGACACTTATGAGACACTCTGTATGTTATGATGAGACACTTATGAGACACTCTGTATTATTATATCATGAGACACTCTGTATAGTATGATGAGACAATTATGAGACACTCTGTATATTATGATGAGACATTTGTAGACACTCTGTAGTATGATGAGACACTTATGACACACTCTGTATATTATGATGAGACACTTATGAGACACTCTGTATAGTATGATGAGACACTTATGACACACTCTGTATATTATGATGAGACATTTGTGAGACACTCTGTATAGTATGATGAGACACTTATGAGACACTCTCTATAGTATGAGGAGACATTTGTGACACTGTATAGTATGATGAGACACTTGTGAGACACTCTGTATATTATGTATGGTATTCAGTTTTGTCTCTCAAAGAAGCGTATCTCACCTGATTACTTTACCTGAGTGCCTTAACTAAGTGCCTCAAGTAAGTGCCTCAGTTCAGTGCCATCTCCCCCCCCCTTCAGGTCATGGCACGGCTGGGTCTCTACAAGGACGCCTCACCCCCCTCACATGACCACATTGACCCCAACCGTGTGTGGAGGACCTCAGAACACGGCTCCTTCGCCACCAACATCGCCTTCACCCTCTCCTTCTGCTCTCAAGAGGATGAGTAAGTATCTTTCTTTTTTCTCACTTTCTCTCTCTTTCTCAACTTCTCTCTCTCTCACTTCTCCCTCCCTCTCTTTTTGTCACTCTTTCTCTCTCATTATGCTGAATAAATATTATTATTATTATCAGAAAACTCGAATGTGACTGACAACGTCTTCTACGAGAGCGAGAGAGAGAGAGAGAGAGAGAGATTCATCATTATACCATTTCTACTCATCACCATACACCCCCTCCTACAGGTGGTGGGTGAGCGCGGCTGTGAGTGAGAAGGTGGTGGTTCTAGGTGGATGCGCCAGCCCACTGGGGTGTACGTGGGAAGAGTTCATCACCACATACGGTAACCTACTGCAGTGTGACTTCGACGCCATTTGTCAGAACACTGATTCCGGGACACCTACTTCGTCAGGCGAGTGTTGCGTCGTCAGAGATAAGTTAACTTGATGTACACTCTCTTTAAAATATATCTTCATGATATTTTGTTAGACAATATGGCACAACCGAGACATTTCCTCTGCTACTCTCTCTCTCTCTACTGTTATATATTAAAGTTATCAATGACCAAGGTAGCCCAGATTATGAGCTGCTTAGTCTATGTTTGAGTCTAACTGTGAGGAGACCCGGGTTCAGTAAGTGTTGGTCAGCTCTTCTCCTCTATATATCATTAAGTAACGTCTCAAATAGTATTACTTTCTATAAGGGTAAACGTGGTGAAATAAACGACTAAGTATACAAGCAACAGTAACTATCATTATAACTATTGGCACCCAGTTCAGAGAGTAGAACAATATATGGAACACCGGGGAGTCACCACACGAACACTCACAAGTGCAGGGAGGAGTATTTACCCCTAGTCACGTGAGACAATACCCTTAGGTGTAGAGCAATGGCTGAAGTTACCTTACCTGATATATGAGAGAGAAAAAGACGGGAAGACAGTCAGCATTAAATAAGGTCCTGTAGCGCGGAGAGTAGACCAAGTAACGTGTGAACTCTGGAGGCGGTGAGGTAAGTGTCTAGAGGTGTGGAACGCATGTTTATATGGGAGAAACACAGAGTTCTCATTGGCTATAAGCTTCCTGGATTCTAAGTGGACTATAAGTTCATGGAAGATGTTAATGGGTCTACTGAAGTTCACTAGCAGGATACGATATGTTTCGACTCGTGAACTGTGAATCACTTGGATACGTTAAGTCGGATCAGCTCAGACCAGCCATTGTTGTCGATAACACTAAGAGCTGTACAGTAGTTTATTAATCTGACACAAACAATTAACAATACAATCCTTTACATACAAATACACGAAATTAATATTAAATAACATATAAATAAGTAAAATATGAGTTAAACAATGAAATTAGTTACAATACTCCCTCACTATCTCTCTCTCTCACAGACTCAGTTACCTGGAGCACGTGGGCGTTCAACCAGCTCAAGATCATCAGTGACTGGGTGGAATCTGTCTTCTCTTCCCACACGAACTAACACAGATCACATCAGCATTAGTCTCCAGCTTGTTTCACCTCGGTATAAATCACCCTAACACTAACCTAACCTAACGCTAACCTAACACTAACCTAACTTAACCTAATCAACCTAAGCTAAAAACCACGTAGCAAACCCTAATCTAACCTTCATAATCTTTTCAGTAATAAAAATCTCATAAAAATTTCCCAAAAATGTGAAAATATACATAATAATTATCTCCATGTTGACTTTTTTGGAATAAAATTTTAACACTATTATTATTAGCCTCTATAAATCTTCTTATTGTGTTACAAATTCTACTCATTTCTGTCTTACCTGACCCCTGTATGTATGTATGTATGTATGTATGTATGTATGTATGTATGTATGTATGTATGTATGTATGTATGTATCAGGGGAATATATATAAAACAAAATATATCAAAACTGTTAATATACATTTAATTAAATATCACAGACTATCAGTATAATAAGAACATTTCAGCACAATATACAGTACATTTCTATACACACATAATATACTGACAATACAGATATAAACTAGTTTCTATACAATAACTCGCTTTATCTCATTATCTCTCATTATCTATGTCTCTCATTATCTCTATCTCTCATTATCTATGTCTCATTAACTCTATCTCTCATTATCTCTATCTCTCATTATCTCTATCTCTCATTATCTCTCTCTCATTATCTCTATCTCTCATTATCTCTACGTAACAAGAAGTTAAGAGAACACTAAAATTAAAGCGAAGTAGAAGCTGTAGTGAATGTTGGTCGTGGCGGAGTGGTTATCACACTGGCCTGGCAACTTGGAGACCCTGGGATCGAACCTCCTATACCTGTGTGTGTGTGATAAGTGACGTCACAGTAGGTAATGTTTGTAGCTTTATGTGACACACAAGCAAGCAATGTTTATATAGTGTGTTTACCGTTACTGAGTCTATGTTAGGCTGTATGATAGGGGGAGGAGAGAGGAGGAGGATGGAGGAGAGGGGATTAGGGAAGGTAGGGAGATGGGGAGGGGGGATAGAGGCGAGGGAAGGGGATGGAGTGGAGGAAGGGGATGGGGGAGGGAGAGGCCGCCCTTTAGCCAGGTCTCCCAGGGTAGGGCCAAGTGGGTGGTTGACGTCCTCCGTAGTGCCCAGTAGTTCCCCCCCGTGGGCTGGTCGTCCTCACGAAGTCGTCCAGTCTGTTCCATGACCACGAGTAGTCTATCTTGAGGTGGCCACGAGAGCCCACCGACAAGTTGGAAGGGCGGTAGGTGGGCTCCACGAAAGACACGGTGGGTCCATAACAAGGCTCCACGAATGACACCCCACAGCCGCCGCCACAGCCAGCCCACGACGACTCCGATGACGACCCGCCTGCTGCCACCACTACTGCCGCCGCCGTTGTTGTTGCCACTCCTGAGAAGACGACAGAATTAGTGGAGAGTCATTAAGACAAACCGTAGAGTCAACAGGATAGTGGTACGATGATAGGAAACCAGAATTAAAAATACGAGAGGATTGAACATTTATCATACTAAACCTGAGAGAGTTGATCTTATCACAGAGATCACTCGCCTCCGTTGGGATGTGCGGCAGCTAAGTGGCTACAAAACTGGCCTCCCGTCCTTAGGGTCGTAGGTCGTCACCCAGGACACCTTCAGCTGTGGATAGGTACTTAACTTTTAATTTGGGTAAGTTAAGACGGTCGGGTACAGTGCCACACGGCTACGCTTCTTTCCTTGTGCATTAAAGGCTGAGTCTAATGTGTGTTGTATCCACAATGCCCCAAATGGCCGCCAGGCCTATGGGACACTCTTCACTCATCCGTGTTAGAAATCTTTGCCCCTGCCCTCATCCTCTCTGAATGGGATCTTCCGTGTTTGAGTGGGACATAGGTTAGCTTCATTTCCATAAAGGTCCCTTCGACACGCCAAATTGGGCCCTCTTGTCAATAAAAGTCCATCTTCACATTCCACGAATTGGCTCTTCCAGTACCCCAAGTGGACCTTGAGTGAGACTTTCTATTTCTCCAGATGGTCTTCCTGTACCAAGGACCACTCCACACTGCACACACACTTGAGGTGTGGACGTGACCACCGGAGGAGCTTCATGCCGCTGTGTCAACCTGTCTGCTGTGCCTCACACAACACAGCGACTTACGTTGAATCATTGTTCTGCTCAAACCTTGACCCACTGGTGTGCTGTCCCCCTTTGTTCCACCGTTACTTCCATGATTGCTTTACAGCAGGGCTGGCTGGTGCTATTCCTACCTAAATTGGCCAGTCCTCAAAACTCGTTCAGCCGCTACTGTGTCAACCAACGTAAGTGTGACACTCGGAGAAAGTTACTTTCCATCACTCGCTCTTGTTGCAGTAAAAACTCAGGAACAAACTTCCTCCTTCACTTATTTTCCCTCAAGTTACGACAGGTAATCTAAATCTCACATTAAATGTATTATTGTCTCCTAAACTTTAACCTCTTCTCTATTTGAGACGAACTACTTGTACAGTCAGCCTCTGGTCAGGCACGTGTA